GGAGGATGTTCCCTGCCTTGATGTCTTTGTGAGCAATCGAGTTATCGTGACAGTACTGCACTGCATGCAATATCTGGATAAACAACCTTCGAGCCTCGCTCTCCTCTAAGGACCCCTGTTCCAGTATATGATGCAGCAGGTCTCCCTCTGATGCATGCTCCATCACCAGGTAGGTGGTCTCTCTGGTGTGGACCACATGAAACAATTTAATGATGTTGGCATGGTCAACAGACACACATGGAGACAAAATACTCATACCCATAAAATAAAAATATCAAGTGTTCTACCTCAGTAAACATAACCTAAAAATGAATAAAAAATGGTGGGCAGTGGTGGCACATGCCTTTATATACAGCACTCAGGAGGCAGAGGCAGGGGGATCTCTGAGTTCAAGGCCAGTATGGTTTACAGAGTGAGTTCCAGGAAGGCTAGAGGTACACAGAGAAACTCTGTCTTGAATTACACACGCACCCCAAAATACATACCAAAAAGAATAGAAAATCAAATAGAAGATAATAAAGAACATGAAAAAGTGAGTGGAAAAATAAAGCAAGCCAATAGACAAATTCACTGAGAACAAGAAACCAAATAAAGTCAACAGACTTGGAGAGAAACTCACAATGTCGGGGTCCAACAGCTCCCGAAACTCCAAGTCAATTCTTTCTCTCACCAGTGCCGAACACCACCTCTCCAACCAACCAACAGCTCCTGCACTGTAAGGACAGGAGGCAGCCTCAGCCAGAGCTGTGAGTGCACAGGTGTCTGTCATTGTGACATCACAGCAAGAAATGGACCAATGAGTACTCGGCACAGCTCACTGGTCTGGCTAGTGGGGCAGTAGGGGCCTTAGGAATCTGGTTACACTCAAATGGCTGTCCTCAGTGTTGCCCAGGGACCCATTTCTTCCTGCTAGGTCCATTTCCCAAGGTCCAAAAATTCCCAAAATGATGTCACCTGGTGGGACCAGTGTCCAAACACTCAATTCTTTGTGGGGCATTGACACCCAAACCTTAACAAGGACCCTTCCACTTTAATAATAAAACAAGGAGTCATAAGAATGACAATGGCTCCAGAGCATTGGCCCTGCCTTGGTTACAGACTGATAGTCTCCCCTTAGTAGGTGCAGAGTGTTTTGCTCTTCATTGGGACCCAGCCTTCTGTGATAAGTTTGTAATAACTCATCATGTCTAGTCTCAAAGAATTCAACTAATTTTTCTTTAAACTCAGATTGATGGGTCCTATAGGATGACAGATCTTGACTACATTGGGATGTTGTGAGATCCCAATGAAAATACTGTTTTCCATGGCACCATAGGACCCAGGACTAACATCTGTGGGGCTGGAAGAAAGTTGACACCATTTGTCTCATGGTCCCCATTGTTCCTGAGACTTCTCACCAAAGTCCATGATCCCAGAAGACAGTGGCCTGATATGTTCAAAATGATCAAGAAAATACTTGTCAGCCAGAACCCTATAGACAACATATGTAGGAGATGGGTCATATCCTGGCACCCTAGGCCTTCTGCTCTCAAACAAAATGCCTTAGTTTGTTCCTTATAAACATCAGAAATTGGTTGCTTGTGTATCTGAACATTGGCAAAGCAAGATCAAGATACCAATAGACTGAGTGTGTAACAGGGCTGCTTTCTAAATTTAATTGGTACTTTGTATGTATTCCCTCATGGTCAAGGAAAAGCATGAACTCAGTCTATCAAGCCCTTTTCTAGAGGCCACATGTTCTGCTGTGTGGCAAGTCTTTAGTGCTTGTGAGTCCCCAGATCTTAATACTCTTGTTTTGTGACTGACACTTCAACAGAGACTTGGCAGGACACAGATACAGTCTCACACTTATATACA